GCTTGGGCAGGAGCAGCATCGAGCACAGGGCAGTTAAAAGGATGCACTGGTTGCAAAAGATGGTTGAGTTGAGTCGGATATCTGCTCCCAGTCTTATCTTCAGGGTTTAACTAAAAGGCAGTTCTATGGTTAAGACCCCAGGACATGGGATGGGGGATTCAGGTCTCAGCTTTGTTATAGGCTTCTGACCTGCAGCAAATCAGTTGGGTCTGGATATACTGGGGATTTGGGACACAGGGGTATGCTTATTCTTGCTCTGGGTCCCTGTGACACTCGTGGTCTCAGGCTGACAGCAGCCCAGCATCAACAGAAGGGTTAAAGAAGCTCCCGCTCCATCTCTCCAGGGATTATGGATTGTATTTACTTACCAAGTGCTTGGCAGCTCTTGGAAGCAAGGCATGATGTGGGATTTGTAGGTAATGTCATGGCTCTAATATAAAACACAGCACGGAAAACCCATAGCCGAGCTCATTCACTCCGCTGAGGGACACTGACTCTGAGAGTGATGCTGGGGCTCTCAGGTCAAGATATGGGGTTACTGATGAATAAAAGGAGGTGCTTACATTTGCCAGATCCCAAGTGGCAGCAGCTTAAAGGATCTCCTTTCAGAAGGCAGAAGATGAGCACTCTGTAAACAGTTCTGAAACCCCTGGCCTTATGGTATCCCCTTGGTGTAAGAATCCTATAGGGAATTACGTGTTCTGGCAGTGCAGCGTTGTTCTCCCTGTCCAAAGTACTCTGTGATGTGGAGGTGAAATCCTCCAGCATCTACATGTACCCTTGGCCATGAATCATGTGGCTGCAATAAGGAACCGAACTGTGGGCTTGCTGATAGTGGTGAAGATAAAAGCCCTGCTTGCTTGCATTTGTTCCCCATCATTTTTAGGTGACCAGAAGAGATTAGCAGCACATAAACTGTCTTCTGCAATAATTAGGCTTGATTTTTATTCTGTGCATTATTTTTGCTGTGCATATGTATAGAATGCATAAGTCCATATGTGTTTCCAGTGCCTAAAGGGCTGCAGGAAAGCTGGAGAGGGGCTTGGGACAAGGGCCTGTAGGGCCAGGCCAAGGGGAATGGCTTGAACCTGCCCGAGGGGAGACTGAGCTGAGCTCTTAGGCAGAAGCTCTTCCCTGTGAGGGTGCTGAGGCGCTGGCACAGGGTGCCCAGAGAAGCTGTGGTTGCCCCATCCCTGGCAGTGTTCAAGGCCAGGTTGGACACAGGGGCTTGGAGCAAGCTGCTCCAGTGGAAGGGGTCCCTGCCCGTGGCAGGGGTTGGAGCTGGATGAGCTTTAAGGTCCCTTCAGCCCAAACCAGACTGGGATTCTGTGATTCTGTGTTTCTGATGCTATGTCTTTTTCTGTACATGCATTTTCTGTAAGCCTTTAATAAACCCAAGTGGTTTCAGATCATTTCCATAGTGCTTTCTGCATGCAATTTTCAGTGCATCTTGAGCTCCTTGCTGAAAGCATATTTGGGCTGCTTTTCGTTGGCCTCTTGCAATCTAATAAACCATGAATCCATTTAGTTCACAGGCATTATTTTGTACCCTGCCATTTAAAATGCTGCCTCATGACCACCCAGTTTTACAGGCATTTCCCCTCCTGATAGATCATGCTGCATGTTGAAGGTCTTGTGCTGTCTGTAGCACATGAGACCCCCCATACCCCAGCGATGTGGTGACTTCGACAGTTGATGTGCCCAAACATACCCTTATATTTCCTTAAGCCCAATATATACCCTCCTGCCTCATGCAGCCCCTTGGCACTGCAGGTTATTTCTCTTGTGGTGGGGTTTGGTACCAAAACCCTGTATCAGATGGTTCCTCCCAGAAAGACCGTATAAAGAGATGATGGGAGATGCAGGGAAGCAGCTCATTGGGCTCGAACCACACAGAACTCAAAGATCACCATAAATAAGTGTTCATATTCCTGGGCAAATCTGTGTTATTTAAATGCTTTCCATGCTTTTGAAAGCCGAGTGATGGGTTTCAGATGCATCTGCAATCCCATATCCCTTCTTGAAAAGGCGAAGGCTCTGTGGTGCGAGGGAGGGATGTTTAACATACCACAGTTAGGGCCTTTATTGAATTAGAAGGAGCAAATATTTCCCTGAATAGAAAAACCACACATTTTTCTAGTTGCAAACAACCTTTTAACCCCATTCCCAGGGCAGGAAAACAATCCTGCAGGACTAAAGCTACAGAAAGGCAAAAATAAGGCATTTTGCTTGGCTTTCCTCCTCCTGGGGAATTAGGGCTTTGTATTCATCAGTCAACGGAGGTTTCCTTCTGAGCCTCATGATCTGCACCAGCTAAGTAAGGCAAATCCAGATTAGAGCCTCTCACAACAGAAATACAGGAGAGATCATGAGGGGAGGAGCTGGAGGAAGAAACAGGCAGGATTTACCGCATTTTCCCATTTGGGATTTCAACTGAAGTCCCCAAAAAAGGCTGAAGTTTGGAATTTCTGCCAGAGATGCAATGAATTGACTTTTTCTCCTTGGACTTGTTTCAAATCAAAGCCAGTCACAGTGGCCATGCTGGAAGACAACACACTGTTGTGTTAGCTTTAAATGGTCCTTATTTGAGGTGAAAGCTTGGACATCCTCCACTCCTATTGTTTTTGCCTCCAACTGAACCAGTTCCAAGCTGGAGAGTCCAAATCCAAATGTAAGTTGGATCCGGGCACTTCTCCTTTCTTAAGGTTTCTCCTGCCTTGTGTTGCGTTGGTGGAGTTTTAATCCTCTGCACAGCTCGGTGTGAGGCTGAAATAGCACAAAAGCTTCTTGTCTTACGGTGTTTCAGCTCTGGCCTCTCGAGATGAGTCCTCTCATTGCCCTGAGCCCCCTGAGTAGCTGCAAGGATGCCTATGGATTATTATATGTAATGTTATATTGACCAGGAACCTCTCTGAGCATTGACCTCTCCTGGGTTATAGAGATCCCTGAGGGATCGGGGACATGTTCCAGCCTGAGGGACAAAAATGATCTTGAATGAAGCCTGTTATACATAGAATCATAGAATCATAGAATGGTTTGGGTTGGAAAGGACCTTAAGCTCATCCAGTTCCAACCCCCTGCCATGGGCAGGGACAGCTCACACTAAACCATGGCACCCAAGGCTCTGTCCAACCTGGCCTTGAACACTGCCAGGGATGGAGCATTCACAACTTCCCTGAGCAACCCATTCCAGTGCCTCACCACTCTCACAGTAAAGAATTTCCTCCTTATATCCAATCTAAACTTCCCCTGTTTAAGTTTTAACCCGTTACCCCTTGTCCTGTCACTACAGTCCCTAATGAAGAGTCCATCCCCAGCATCCCTATAGGCCCCCTTCAGATACTGGAAGGCTGCTATGAGGTCTCCACACTCTCCCCTGACTGCTCTTCTCCAGTTCTGCGGTCTTCTTTTGCCTTGAGTTTTGCATGCCCTTGGCCTCTGTGGGCAACTGGGGAGCACATCTTCTAATCACAGAATCCCACACTGGTTTGGGTTGGAAGGGACCTTAAAGCTCATCCAGTTCCAACCCCTGCCACAGGCAGGGACACCTTCCACTAGAGCAGCTTGCTCAAATGCAGCTTCTCCATGAGGCTGGAACAGATCCAACCCCTATGGTCTGTACCAGCACTTGCTACCCTTGCCCATTCTATGCATCCTCTTCCCTCCCTATTTTCTATATCCCCACAATATCACTGCATCCATTCGCCTATCTGATGTCCCCCCAAATCATGTCCCTCTTGCACTGCTCCACCCCAACAGCAGCACCTTTGCTCTGTTTCCCATTGCATCAAGATCTCAGCTCCTTGTCCTCACCCGCATCCCCAGAGCACCCTGCACTGTGTCCCTGAGGACATCCCCATCACTCCCCTCCAGCACTGACTCCTATCAGGATGTCTGTAGAAGGTCATGGCAGGATTCCTGGTATCTGTGGGTGGCAAATAGCAGGCAAGGTAGAGGAAGGGATAGGAAAGAGCAACTGGCATCAGGATAAAGCTTGGAATGTGATGAACACCAAAATAAAAAGGGTGAGATAGAATTATATTCCTGGTGCATAAATCTTCCTCCTGCTTAAGCACCTCCCTCCTTAAGGACAAAAGAAAAAGTCTATTAATAGAAAGCAAGAAGAAATCATAGCAGGTGACCTGCTTTATTTGACTGGATTAAGTGTGGGATTACAGCAGCGTTTAGAAATGTCGATAAGGGCTCTGTCAGATTCCTCCCTGTCGTTCCCTTGTTTTCTGGGAATAGCAGGGATTTGCAGCAGGTCATTCGGATTAAGAATCCAGTGGAGTGATTTGATGAGGGCAGGAGGAAAGGGAAAAGGAAGCGGAACACATTGAGGGAGTATTGTCACTATGGGGTATTGCCAGTGGAGAAACAGCTCTGTGTGGTTCCCTTGTTAAATGCAATTCTTGGGGTAAATCCAAGGAAGAGCATGTGTTCTGCAGGATTTCGGGGGGTTTCTTTCAGGTGGAGAATGGGATTTGGGAAGAGAAAGGAATGGAAAGGGAAAAGGTGATGGGGTAAAGGCTCTAAAACTTCCACATTGTGATATCCCATTCAGCCCAGAGTTTAGTAAAGTTCTGGATATCAAGAAGAAGCAGCTTCTTAAAGCCTTGATCCTCTGCCAAACGTGGCTTTATGTGTCATATTTCCTGCCCCAAATCACTCCTCCCTTCTCCCGTTTCCTGGCCATGCTCCCTCCTTAGGCAATAAGAGATGGCGCTTCCATAGCTGGTGACTAGTCCAAGGTGTTCCCATGAAGACGTGTCTGGGGTTAAGGAATAGTGGAGCCCAGGTAGGAAAATCCCTCTGGATGAGCCTTTGCCCTTCATGAATGCTTTATTTCTTTTGCCCTGTTGGGGTACAGCATCATGGTGCTGCTTGTGGGTACCCAGCACCATGCTACAAGTATGAGCTTTGTGATAACTGTGTTTTAGGTGATGGGAAAAGAGCCCAGAGCAACTAAAGGCGTGAAGAACACAAGCAAGCAATGAGCATTTGTTGATGTAGACAAATTGCATTTAAAAAGACAGATGTACTCAGCAGAAATTATGGCTCATCATTCCATTTCCAACTGAATATAATGCAAAGGAAACCTTGGGGAATTCCTATTTCCCTGGAAATCCCTTGAGAAACTGGCATCCAAGCCATACTGGAAGTGGGGGTTTTCTGCTGGGGTGTTTGAGTAATGCTGGCCACAGATAGGATCCTTTCTTCTTTACATCTTTTATGTGTCCTATAGGGAGAAAAGATGGAAACTCTTTCCCTATACCCATGCAAGTGATGGGAAAATAAAGTCTTTCTCCCTACACTGTACAGACCATGTGTTAACAGTGACGAAGCTGAGGTTGTTCCAGAGGTAAGGGAAAACTTGGAGCTTGATCTCCATGATTTCATCTTGCTTGAGGAGCTCTATATGAATTCCAGGTGTCTGTCTTCTGGGATGTTATATTTAGCTTTGTGCTCCTCAAAGAGCTTGCTCAATTCGTTTAGGTATTTCTCATGGACTCGATCCACCTCTTCCTTAGAGGGTTTGTGGTTCCTCTGCACTGGAATTGGTTTCCCAACTGGAAAACAAACACAGGCATTAGGAGGAGACAGTGTCAGGTCCCTCTGAACAGTTTGCACATCTTAGCACAGAGCTGGGGTCTCCAAGGATGCAGTGGATGGATTGATAGGACCAGTCATGTCCTGGAGTTTGGGGGGTAGCACAACCAAGGAGGTAAGGAGATGGAGGTTCAGATACTGGCTCTGATGTTGGTCTCGAAGGTCTCATCTATCTTTGCCTCAGTTTCCCCATCTGTAAAGCTGCTTAATGCCAAAGACCCTTTGTGTAGCATTATGAAGTAGGAAGTGCTGCATCCTAATGCGGTCCCTCCAGCCTAACATCTCAGATGTGCTGCACATAAAGACAACGTCATCCTAATGATGTTTCCATGTGGCCCTGGGAATCTGCATGTCAAATGGGGACACTGAGGCACTGGGGAGCCCAAGACCACTTAAATACACTAGTGACTGGGATGCTTCCACTTCACTCAGATTAAAGCTTCTGTGAAACATCTGATTTTTATTAGTGCCCATATATCTCTATGAAATCATGCTTTTTTCAAGGGTAAATCTAATTAATTTGATTCCTATCAACAGAAGAAGCTCCTTCCCATCTCCCAGAGCCACCAGCAGCAGGAGCAGGCACCTGCAAGGGACATGAAGTCCATGTGATGCCTCTCTTGCTCTGGTCTCTTACTCAGACTCTGTTTGTCAAGTGCAGGAGGGTTTCATCGTTGCGTAAGGCTGCTCCTCCTCAGGTTAATGAAGAGCCCTTGTGATACTGCACAGCTCATAAACCCCTTGAGACAATCCAAACAGATTGTAAAGCAATTAGAAGTAATTGCTGGCTGTCAAACATCATCAGTGGGGTGAGATCTGACCTTTCCAGACGGCCTCTTTCATTAGGCTACTTCCCACAGCATCAGTAGTGCTGATGGGTTTCAACAGCTCCATGAGGCAAGGATGGAGTTGATGAAACCAGGCAGAACTGCTTCAAAACCAAAGACTTGCTTTGAATTTGGCCTCCTATGGGCATGATCTCTGCTGGAAACTTCCTGCCATGAAATAGGTTGCGGGTTGCAGCTATGTCTGCATAGGACACTGAGCAAACCTGCAAATTGCTTAGGTGTTGCCCTATTTGTGCTTGTAAAATTGGCTTGGAAAAAGTATAACCCAATGTTATTGCAGCGGTTTTTATTACTGGGTTGTGCTGGGTTTGGCTGCATCCCACGCAGATAATGAGGTGGATGTGTATGCTCTAGGGCTTTGCTTTGATGCATAGATGGCCTGGGCTTTGTCTTAAGGCCAAGCCAGAGATCCAAATCGGTGAGACACATGAGCAGTTGAGGATGCTTCATTGCCAACATGTTTCTAGCCCACCACAGCATGATGGTCCAGCTTGGCATCTCCATCCAGGACAATAACACAACCCAGGGGATGCCCCTGGTTCCCCCACTGGCCAGGCTGAGTGTAGCTGTATTGTGCTGGCCAAGGAAGGACTTACCTACAGTGTAGATGGGCCGACGGTAGGGTACCAACCCAAAGCTGTACTGGAAGATGCCCCTTGCATGGAAGAGGGGAAGTGAGATGCCCATGATCTTCTGGAGCTGGTGCTGGACCCTCCGCAGCCAGGAGCCCTGGGGGTTTCTCACTTGCTCAAAGAGGTCATTCTCCCCAAAGGAAAAGACCGGGACCAGGGGGGTGCTGTGAGGAGTTGAACCCAATGGGAGGGCATGAAGATTAGCAAAGCCCACCCCATAACACCTTCCCCCTTCTCAAATAGTTCTTCTGCAGCGGGTTGGTACTAAATGATTGTAAGGCCCCTTCCAACCCAAACCATTCCATGATCCTATGATTATAAAACCAGCAGGAACACCCCATGAAGCAGCCACATCCCTCCCCAAGGGCCCCTTGAGCCCATCCCCTGCATCACCCATGCTCGATGGCCAGGCGGACAAATCCCTTCCTGTTCTTCAGCAGCAAGGTGCAGGATCCCGGCCGAGCATCCAGCGCCTCCTGTGCTCCACCGATGATGATGGCCAGCACATTCCCACCCTTTGGGTTCTTCAGTACATAGGATGCGCTCTCCTTGTCCGAGGAGACAAGGCCTGCGGGGCAGAGAGGAAGAAAGCATCAATATCTGTAAAACCCACACGACTGTGGTTTGCTCTGTGCCTTTTCCCCCCATTATCCAGCTCCAGAGGGGTGCTAGACACTATTGTCAGAGTTTTCCTACACTTTAGCAATCTCATCCCAGCTGCCCTCAAAGATGCTGGATTCATGGAATGATAGAATAGTTAGGGTTGGAAAGGACCTTAAGCTCATCCAGGGCCAACCCCCTGCCATGGGCAGGGACACCTCACACTAAACCATGGCACCCAAGACGGGCATGAACATCCCTTTGCTGTCTGGCCCAAGACTGAGAAACAGGGAAAAAGTAAACTGGGAACTAAGTGCTCACAATCCCCAGGGAACATCTGTTTCAGTTTGTTGTCAGATGAAACCAAGTTCGATCCTGACCAGCTCTAAAGCCAGGGAAACATCTGCTTTAGCTTAAAAGAAGCACAGATTTCAGTGGATGCTGCTGGAGGGGGCTTGGAGCAATCTGCTCTAGTGGAAGGTGTCCCTGCCCATGGTGAGGGGTTGGAACTGGATGAGCTTCAATGTCCTTTCCAACCCAAACCATTCTATGACTCTATGGATTTAAAGTGGAATTTTATGCAGAATTTGGTCCCTGGATGTTATTTCCTTGCAAAATCTCAAATCTTTCATTTGGGAAATGACAGAGCAACACGGGTTTGATTCTTTAAAGAAGCCCTTGTTTCAGGAGCAATTTAAAACCTCTTTGTCAAATGGATTCAATGGACCTGAAAATGAGCTCTGCACCCAGCTCCCACGTTGCAGTGATTAAAGCATCCCTCGCCTGGGCCAGATCTCTCCCATATCTCACTGTTATGATTCCTTGCTCTCCATGTAAATATTTTTCCAACAGCAGGAGCCAGAGTTTATGTGGAAAACAGGGTGATGACAGCCCCGGGGTATCTGAGGACCTGGATGCCTGTGTTTAGTCTATTGAATCCCACACACAGGATGAGCCCATTGAGCTGCAGAAGGGGCTGTTTCCCAAGCTCACCGGTGAGAGGAGGAGGTCATCTCTTGCTGGTGTCCATAAATCACTCCACACTCCCTTCCCCTTCTCTCCATCTATTTTTTACCTATTCCTTTTCATTTCTGCTTCCCCTCCTGCCATGTGGTTTTACAACAGTGCGAGCTGGTATTTGCATCCTCCCTTCTACACTTATACATACAGAATGGGCAGAGATTGGAAGGGACCACTGAATGTTGTTTAACCTCAGTCAGGGTCACCCACAGCACATTGCTCAGGATTGTGTCCATAGAGCACCTAAATATCTCCAAGGAAAGGGACTCCATAACCTTTCTGAGCAACCTATGTGAGCTGCTGGAGTAGATCCAGAGAAGGGAATGGAGCTGGTGCAGGGCCTGGAGCCCAAGAGTGATGGGGAAGGGCTGAGGGACCTGGGGGGTTCAGATGGAGAAGAGAAGGCTCAGGGGGGACCTGATGGCTGCCTCCAAGTGCCTGAGAGGAGGATGGAGCCAGGAGGGGCTGGGCTCTGCTCCCAAGGAACAAGGGATGGGACAAGAGGAACCGGCCTCAAGCTGCACCAGGGCAGGTTTAGATGGAGCTGAGGACCAATTCCTGCCCCAGAGGGTGCTCAGGTATTGGAACAGGCTGCCCAGGGCAGGGCTGCAGGCACCGGCCCTGCAAGGGTTCACACCCCATGGAGACAAGACCTCAGTGCCATGGGGCAGTGGTGGCCTTGGCACTGATGGGCAGCGGTTGGGCTGGATGAGCTGAAAGGGCTTTTCTGACCTCATTGATCCTATGATTCTGTGATTCTATTCCAATGCTCAGAAGTTCTTCCTCATGTTCAGGTGGACCTTTCTCTGGTTTACGCCTGTTGCCTCTTGTTCAGAGCCAAAATTAAAAGGTATGGCAGTGATTTTCAGTGCTGAACGAAATCTGAACACATATTTGTATGAAATACAGCAATACAGTCTGAGACTTCTCTGCCCCATGACATGTTTTGCAAATCACAGACCACCAGCAGAGAATCAGTGGTTTTCACTCCCCACAGTTCAAGCACTCACTTTGCACATCACGTGTTAAGTAGATCAGACAAATCTAACTACAAGAGAGAGAAGCTCCAAGAAACCCACAAGAAACCCGTTCTCAGCCTATTCATGGTACAAAGACTATTTAGTACCTTAAAAATAAACCAACAGTTCATGTTTATTGAAGGTTAGACTGGGCTTGGAGCAAGCTGCTCTAGTGGAAGGTGTCCCTGCCTGTGTCAGAGGTTGGAACTGGATGAGCTTTAAGGTCCCTTCCAACCCAATCCAATCTGGGATTCTGTGATTTTACCATGAACAAGTGTTGCTTAGAATACAGGACTTCTCTGACTGTGTATTTACCTTTTCAAGTACACCAATAAATGCTGCAGTTGTTTTTTTAGCAAACACAGTAAGTTAATGTCTTCCCACATTCTTCGCAATGGAATCCATAAGGTACATGGGATCCATTGGCAACAGATAAGGACAAACAGACCCTTGACTCCTCTTCCCCTCGTGTCTTCATCCCCTGTTCCCCCACCCATCCCACCACTTGCCGGAGGGGTTGGCTTGTGCTGTTTCCCTGCTTACCTCCACTCATCAGGTAGTCCCTGAAGAAGGGGATGCGAAACCACATGGAGAGCATCATCAGGTGTGGGGTGATGCCCGGGAAGAGCGTGGAAAAGCCCGATGCCTCCGTGCAGAAATTGAGAAAGGCTCCTGTTGCCAGGACCCCATGGGGATGAAATCCCATCAGGTAGTTCTGCCTAGGGTCCAGCTCCGCCGTCTTCACCAGCTGCACGCCAGATGGGAGCAAAAAGGGGCCATGAGTTAGTGCTGTTGTCTTATGGGGACGGAGCATTGGCTATGGAGAGCAGATGGGGGATTCTTGGAAGGGGGTCCATGGCATAGTTTTGTTCCTGCTGTACAACCAAGATGTGGATGGGCTGGAGAGGGGCCAGAGAAGGGCCACAAAGATGACCCAAGGACTGGGCAGCAGTGAGGAAAGGCTGAGAGAGATGGGACTGTTCAGCTGGAGAAGGCTCAGGGAGACCGGATCCCATGTGCCAGAGTGGCTACAGAGAAGATGGACACTCTCTTTTGACAAGGAATCCAATGGAAAAGCCAAGGGGTGATGGGCACAAGTTACTACTGGGAGATTGCAAATGGACACAAGAGGGAAACTTTTCCAGTGATAATGACCACCAGTGGAATAGTCTCCCTAGGGCAGTGGTGACTCCCCAGCGTTGGACACTGTTAAGATTGGGCTGCACAGGGTGCTGGGCATCCAGTCTAGGTCATGCTGTGCCTGGAAAGGTTGGAGCAGATGATCCTTGAGGTCCCTCAACCTGGGATTCTGCACTTCTATGACTGGATGCCTGCCCAAGGTTGCTGCAGTTTTACCGGGAAGAGGGAATGTGGAATGCCTGTGTCTAGTGTATAGGGATGGACAGCATGGATTCCAGGCACAGCCCTTGAAGGCTACCTAAGCAGCTGCATGAAACACTCGGCCAATCTGCCACTGGGTTTGAAGCCTGGGAGATCCTACATGGGACAGCAGAGGAGGGGATGATTAAAGGGAGATAAGGCACAACAAGGATCTGGAGCCTGTGGGTTACACTTGCTATGGACTTCCCAGAGGAGAGGGGCTGCTGTTCCAAACCCACCCTCCAGCTATGCCGCTGAGAAGACCCTGCTGTGCCAACACCAGCCAGCATGTGTATAACCCAACAGAAGCGGTCAAAACTGAATGGTTCCTGTGGGTGCCGAGGATGCTCACAGCACCAGGGAAGGATGAACCCTCCCAAGGTTAACCCTAACAGAGCCACCATGGATTTCCATTCAACTCAACAGCCCCTGTGCTCCAGAAGATCCAAAGCCCAGCGCCTTTTACCCTGTCACCCCTCCAGCACCCTGGTCCCATCCTCCCACAGGAGCAGCTCATGGTGCATGTGTTTTCCTAGAAGCAGCCAGAACCACAGGTTAATCACGAGGGTGCATTTTACTTTCTTACATCATGGCTAATTTCCCCTCTGGCCCGAGGCTCTGTTGACTGTACACATGTGCCCATTCAAGCGCCTGCTCCTAATGGGAGGAATGGACAAACAAGGGTTCCACCGCTGCCCGGTGCAGAGGTACCTAAGCAGGAAGAGGGGCAGATGGCTGAGTTACTGAGTGCCTGGGGCCCCTGCCTCCTTTTGAAGTCATTTCAGCTTACATCAATGTTTCCTGCATCCATCTTCTGCTTCCAAACAGCCTTTCATCCCTGTATGATTTATAGGAGGTGAGATGCTCGGGTGTGTTGGAAACAGGCTGTATGTGTGCAGCGTAGGAGAAGGCATGACAGCAGGTTCAGTGCCCGGTTGTAACCCAAGGTTGCAGCATCCTCCTTGGTAATGACGAGTTGAACTCAGGGTACCCACTGAGCTGTGCAGACTGCTCCAGTGGGAGTTCACCTGTGATAAGACACCTTAAAAACCCTCCCTAGGAGACATCCCAATGTGCTGGTGTTCTGGTTAATGTTTCCTGCATTATAACGCAAGAGTTGTCCCTGCAATAGCTCTGACCACATCTTAGTGACCAAGTTGATTTATTTGCCTCTGTTAGGTTTTCAAACTGGGCTCCTTCCAGGCATAAGGAAAGGATGGGAGAGAAGGTCCTCATTTTGTCATAGCGTCTGCTCCCATTTGGGTGACATGGGTGGGACTTGAAATCAAAGAGCCTTTACAAGGAAATCTGACCTATTTGAAGTTGTCCCTGCTCATTGCAGGGGGGATGGACTAGATGAGCTTTAAAGGTCCCTTTGACCCAAACCATTCTATGATTCTATGACCTGTAGCAGAGGAGAGACTTTGGTCAAGTGCTCTGGACTCTAAGCCTGGAAAATCTCCCTCTGGAAACTGTTTAACACAGAAGCTCGATCCTCCCACTTATTGTTCCCAGTGTTGGTTCACTTCTTCCCTGTCTTCATGCCAGAGGTCAGCCTCTGTTCCCAGACAGCCAGGGAAGTTAATGCTTGGCACCAGACAACCCAATTCTCCTGCACTGAAGAGCTCAATGGGGCCGGGGTTGAGGTGCAGAGGGGTGTGAATCCCCTCCCTCCTGCCTTGGGTGCGTTGCCATCTCCTCACCCACCGGATGGCATTTGCTGCTTTAGGTTTTCTGGGTGAGTTGAAGCTTTAATCATTGTCAAAGGACTCAAGGGTCCAGCCAGGCTGGTCCGTGAGTAAACAAGTGATTGAGCCAAAGTTTCCTTGGTGAGACAAGGCCAGTTTCTCATCTCAGGAAGCCACATTAATGTGTACCTCTGCTCTGGAGCCAGGCTGAGGGAGCTGGGCTGGGGCAGCCTGGAGAAGAGAAAGCTCCTGAAGGGGAGACCTTAGAGCAGCTCCAGTGCCTAAAGGGGCTGCAGGAAAGCTGGAGAGGGGCTTGGGACAAGGGCCTGTAGGGACAGGCCAAGGGGAATGGCTTGAACCTGCCCGAGGGGAGACTGAGCTGAGCTCTTAGGCAGAAGCTCTTCCCTGTGAGGGTGCTGAGGCGCTGGCACAGGGTGCCCAGAGAAGCTGTGGCTGCCCCATCCCTGGCAGTGCTCAAGGCCAGGTTGGACACAGGGGCTTGGAGCAAGCTGCTCCAGTGGAAGGGGTCCAGTTTGGGTGGGACTTCATCACCCTCATTCCCAGTTCTGGGTAAGGATGGCAGCTCCAAAAAGCCCAAGTGTTCTCTTGCTCTTGTGCGATGCTGCTCTTGGCGGTCTTGTAGGACCTCCTGTATCCTTATCCTTATGGATCCTTTCCTGTTAGGGTGCTGAGGCACTGGAATGGGTTGCCCAGGGAGGTTGTGAATGCTTCATTCCTGGCAGTGTTCAAGGCCAGGTTGGACAGAGCCTTGGGTGCCATGGTTTAGAGCGAGGTGTCCCTGCCCATGGCAGGGGGGGTGGAACTTGATGATCTTAAGGTCCTTTCCAACCCTAACCATTCTGTGATTCTATGATTCTATGGCAGGACACAGTCCTCTGGTGGACCTGACCTCAGCCATGGCCTCTCTCTTAATGTTAAAGAAGAGAGGGTCAAGAGCAGGACAGAGGAGTTCCTCAGGAAGGACACACTTGTGGCTCTGGGCCATTTGGCCATGTCTGGCTTTTGCCCTAAGGACCTCTCATCTCTCCTTCAGCCAACAGAAGGAAGCAAAGACCAGCAGTGCTATTTAACATCATGGGCTGTGACACAAACCCCCCAGTCACAAATAACACCATTCTTCTATGCAAAGAAGGAAAACATTCCTGGTTGGGCTGGGTTCACATGAAGTGGAGCTCTTCCCCCTCTGCATTGCCTTGTACCTCCTTAGAAGCACGATATGCCCTCAAATAACCCCCGTCATGGTTTATGCAGTTGTGAGAATGAATGAGTTATGGGATGGAGCCATCCCAAATCACAGCTCCTAGGGTTCAACGAGTTCTCTAATAACTCATTTTAGTTATACTAACAAAGAAGCCCAATGTAGCCTGTCCCCACGCACAATGACACAGGTTGGGACTCTGCCAGTTGCTATAGATATTAAGGTCCAACTGACACTTGGATAACCCCAAGGCTGGTGAAATGTGTCCTGTGGCTCTTCAGAAGGGGAAAAACAGTGCAGTGAAGGCCACAGCGACCTTGGCCACATAAAAGGCACTTTTCAGACTGCACTGAACAAAGCTGCTAAGATGGTGCCTGCTGGGGTTGCTCTGAACGATGACAGCACCCAAAGACAGAATTTGTCCCTCTAAGACCTTAATTTTAGCTTCCATCTGATAGGTTTAACTTGTAATCTAGATTGTGTGATAAAGGTGAAATGTCTTGTCTAAACCAAGCATCCAACCCTAACTTATAGCCAGCAAGAAGGATGGTGACTTCTGCTTGAGGACTACAGTAGAGATGGATCTCATCAAGCTTATGCTTCAGAATCATAGAATAGTTTGGGTTGGAAAGAACCTTAAGATCATCCAGTTCCAACCCCCTGCCATGGGCAGGGACACCTCACACTAAACCATGGCACCCAAGGCTCTGTCCAACCTGGCCTTGAACACTGCCAGGGATGGAGCATTCACAACCTCCCTGGGCAACCCATTCCAGTGCCTCAGCACCCTCACAGGAAAGAACTTCTGCCTTATATCCTATCTAAACTTCCCCTGTTTCAGTCTGAACCCACCACCCCTTGTCCTATCACTGCAGTTCCTAATGAAGAGTCCCTCCCCAGCATCCCTACAGGCCCCCTTCAGACTCTGAGGTCTCCACGCAGCTTCTCTTCTCCAGGCTCAACAGCCCCAGTGTTCTCAGCCTGGCTCCATACAGGAGCTGCTCCAGCCCCTGATCACCCTCGTGGCCTCCTCTGGACTTGTTCCAACAGTTCCATGTCCTTTTTATGTTGAGGACACCAGAACTGCACACAGTGCTCCAGGTGAGGTCTCACAAAAGCAGAGCAGAGAGGCAGGATCATTCCCCATTTCACCCTCATCCTCATCTTCTACACATCAATGGCTCTCCTCAGCTGAGGGTACCAAAACACACTGGCTGTGTGAAGGAGGTTGGTGACAGTGGGTTTACAGTATCAGAAGGTGATGGGGCTGGGAAGAAGCAGCAGTGAAGATGCACATTCCCATGGCCACGAGATGGAGACGTTTGTTTTGACTGTAATGCTGAGTGCATCCTTCCTAGGAATGATGTGCTGAGAAATTATCATGAAAGAACCATGCAAATAAACATAAGGGGGTTGACCTGGATGAGCTTTAAGGTCCCTTCAACCCAAGCCATTCCATGATTCTATTAAAAATATAGGGGGATGAAGCACAGATAACTTTCCTGTGCAATGCAATGGGTCTCACTTGAATTCTCACTGCTTTCTTGTCCTTTACCTTTCAAAACCACTCAAACTTATTCAGGTTCCGCCTGATCCTATAGCAAACCCCTAACTAAAAGCCGTCCATCAAGTGGAATAACCCAAGCAGCAGCGGTACTTGTGCAAGGGTGGTATCAGCAGAGGGTGCTGCTTGCACACGCTGTGCGCAGAGCCTGCCCATCCCTATATGCCAGACACTGCAGCACCGTGCCAACCCGTGCTGCTCAGATCCCCAGGGAACAGATGCTCATCCCAGCGCCTCTCTGCTTCCATGGCTGCAAACATGCGCAGGGATCCTTTACAGGCAGCATTTAAAGCCACTTCTAAAATGAAATAGGCAGATCCTCCTGTCTCCAGTCACTGGTGCTTGGCCAGGCTGAGTGCGCTGCTGGGACCGGGAGGATTAGGAGACACATTGCATCTCCCCTGGATGGCTGATTCTCCAGGGCTGAACAAACTCAATCTGTGCACAAGCACAGCCCAGGGAGGTGGGTGCCCACCCAGGTCCATGTCCCAAATCCCACTCCCCTTTTGCCCCTGTGCTGGATGGGGATTTGGGAAGCGGGGGTGTTCAGGCTGGAGAAGAGAAGGCTTCTTAAGGGGAGACCTCAGAGCAGCTCCAGTGCCTAAAGGGGCTGCAGGAAAGCTTGAGAGGGGCTTGGGACAAGGGCCTGTAGGGACAGGCCAAGGGGAATGGCTTGAACCTGCCCGAGGGGAGACTGAGCTGAGCTCTTAGGCAGAAGCTCTTCCCTGTGAGGGTGCTGAGGCGCTGGCACAGGGTGCCCAGAGAAGCTGTGGCTGCCCCATCCCTGGCAGTGCTCAAGGCCAGGTTGGACACAGGGGCTTGGAGCAAGCTGCTCCAGTGGAAGGGGTCCCTGCCCGTGGCAGGGGTTGGAACTGGAGGAGCTTTAAGGTCCTTTTCAATACAAACCATTCTCGGAGTCAGTGACTCTAAAGGAGAGGTCCAGCTGTGCATGTTCAGATCAAAAGCTCAGCTTAGTTCACCGTGACAGCAGTGTACAGGATGGTTAAAGCAATATTTCAAACGCTTAACTTCCATGCCTCTAGGCACAAATCAGCTCATGCCCAGTGCTACGGAATTAAATCCTTCCCATGCAAGGAAGCAAACACATTTGGGCTTTTAACTGGGAAAAAAAGCTGGCACATGTGGGATATAACAGAGTATAAAACCAGGAATACCCTGGGTATGTAGGGCAGGATTTGCATGGGCTAACCAGGGAGCTTCGAGTGAAACAAGCAGGGAGCAGGGATGTCTTCACGTTGTGTGGAACTCCTTGCTGCAGGATGCTGAGGATGCCAAATGCTTTTCCATGATATAGTGGCAAATGCATTCCAAATGGGCTTCTAAATCTTATATTCTGGCTTAGAAAGTGCAGAAGACTGAGAAACTGTCTTTGGGAAATGGCATTATGTGATTGCTTGGTTATAATACTCTTGTCATCGTGGTTTGGTTTCTGATGTCCTTTTGTGCACCCTCCTCTGACTTCTGCCATCCCAGCCATAAGAAAGGCTCCAGGGAACCTTCCTGGCCTTCAATCCCAGTAACCACACTCCCTCTATTGGTCTTACTGGTAAAGGTCTTACTGGTCTTCCTGTCTTGCACCCAGGAAAGGAAGGACAGACACTGAACCATGGGGTACATAAGGGGTTTCCATGTCCTTACAGAGGGATGGGAGGAGAATTGTTGTTGGGCTGAGTGGGCAGCCAGGATTTAGCAGAGAGGCTGGTTGGACACTGCCCAAGCAGCAGCTTATGGCCAGGAATAATTTAGTCTATACTGCATATAATCACTACAGCCACTTAAATAGCTCAAGGATTCTAGCATCTTCTAAGGGAAGCTTGAGAATAATTTATTAGGAACCCATTTTGTGTTTCCTATTAAATGTCATAAATATAACCTGTCCCTTATGACAAAACTCCCCACAAGCTTTCCTGGGATGTGTTCCCATTCCTCCTCGTAAAGTTACGATGAACCTTTTGGGGGCCTTGCTTTGAAGCTCATCCAGAGGCCCATGGAATCACCCAGGATGGAAAAGCCCTTTCAGCTCATCCAGTCCAACTGTTCCCCATCACTGCCCCATGGCACTGAGGCCTGGTCCCCACGGGGTGTGAACCCTTGCAGGGCCGGTGCCTGCAGCCCTGCCCTGGGCAGCCTGTTCCAATGCTGGAGCACCCTCTGGGGCAGGAATTGGTCCTCAGCTCCATCTAAACCTGCCCTGGTGCAGCTTGAGGCCGGTTCCTCTTGTCCCATCCCTTGTTCCTTGGGAGCAGAGCCCAGCCCCTCCTGGCTCCATCCTCCTCTCAGGCACTTGGAGGCAGCCATCAGGTCCTCCCTGAGCCTTCTCTTCTCCAGTGAACCCCTCAGGTCCCTCAGCCCTTCCCCAAACCGTATTTAAAGTTAATCTCAGAGATTAGCCATGTACAACCCACGGCAGGTCCTCGGCATCACTTTCTGCCTTGAAAAGAGCAAAGAAACCCGATAGCAGATGATCAAAGGATGTGATTGTGAAAATGGTGGTCTTCTTTTATACTGGGTCTTGCAGTAATCTGGGACCTGGGAAGATGATAGAATCATAGAATCATAGAATAGTTTGGGTTGGAAAGGACCTTAAGATCATCCAGTTCCAACCCCCTGCCATGGGCAGGGACACCTCACACTAAACCATGGCACCCAAGGCTCTGTCCAACCTGGCCTTGAACACTGCCAGGGATGGAGCATTCACAGCTTCCCTGGGCAACCCATTCCAGTGCCTCACAACCATTACAGTAAAGAACATCTTCCTTATCTACAACCTGAACTTCCCCTGTTTCAGTTTGAACCCATCACCCCTTGTCCTATCACTACTCTCCCTGATGAAGAGTCCCCCTCCAGCATCCTTGTAGCCCTCTTCAGATACTGGATAGAAAAGGGTGGATAGATGATCCTTCAACACTGACCTCCCAGAACCCTATGCCACAAGTCCTTGCCCCAAACTGCCTCCAAACACCAAAGACAAAGGCGGTCCTTATGGAATCAGTGCGTATGGAATCAGTGGTACTTACCGTGATGGGGAAATAGTCCCTCATGTACCTCCAGACGACACTGTTCCGGACGGCATGGATCCGCCTCCCACCCTTGCTGGGCTTCTCCCTGTCTTTGAACCACCACACGGCATAGAGGACGCAGAGCAGCCAAAAACGGGTGAAGAAGAGCGCAATGAAGGCAGCTGTGCAGCACTGTGCTGAGGGAAAAGCCAGTGGTGAGGTGGCAGTTGGATCAGGTGGGCTTTGGGAGAGGAATGATCATAGAATCCCAGAGTGGTTTGGGTTGGAAAGGACCTTAAAGCTCCTCCAGCTACAACTCCTGCCATGGGAAGGTACCCCTTCCACTGGAGCAGCTTGCTCCAAGCCCCTGTGTCCAACCTGGCCTTGAGCACTGCCAGGGATGGGGCAGCCACAACATCATTGGGAGCCAGTTCTAGTGCCTTAAATCCAACCTGAACTTCCTGTTTCAGTTTGAACCCATCACCCCTTGTCCTATCACTACAGTCCCTGAGGAAGAGTCCCTCTCTAATGATGCACTTGGAGAGACTCTGGTGCTGTGATGGAGCCCATCACTGGGCTTGCTGAGGGGTTACTTTATCATTGTGAAGGCATCTTTGATGCAGAGAAGGTTTCTTTCCTACCTATACCCTGGAGAGGAACCAAGCACCATCCTTCCATCAACCACCTATTTCTCAAAGCCCACCGTGTCTTCCTTTCCCCACACGAGCCTCGGTTTTCCTTGTGGATCACAGCTCTATCCCTTTGCTTTCTGGCTTTTCTCTGGACTCTGATTCCTGCAATGAAAATGTCCCTCTTTTACCCCAAACCTCCTGTTAATACACTCTGATGACACCCAGCATCTTGCAGTGGCAGCAGATCAGGGCACTGTGCCCTGTCTGTACAGTCCCCAACGGCTTTGTCCTGAGCTAATGAGTCACCATTTTAATTGTCCTTGATTTTTAATGTCTTATCTGCCCATATACGAGGTTTTACTCTTTATTGAGTTATTTCTTATTGATCTTGGACCTTTTCCTCCACTCCTTGGGTTCACTCTCAGCTCTAATACTGACCTCTAGAGGATTTTCAGCCCTCTCAGTTCTGTGTCATCGCTGATTTTAGAAGAATGATTTATTTCATTCCTTAAGACATTAATGATTTGAGACCTTCCCAAGCCATTAAAGACTTTTCTGAGCTGCTTCCAGTCACTGCTCAGCTTTTCCCTCCACCTTCCTTATCCTTCATGCCATGTTCTGGCATGGGAACAAGAGAAGAAAAGTGTGTGCAAACAGGAATCACTTGGTGCATCAAATCCAACCAAAGCCTGCAGTGATGAGGAACTGCTGCTGGCCACCCAATGCCTACTTAGTAAAGCAGATACCCTAAGAAGTGCCTGGGAAGAGCTGGGTCCTCTCCATCTGCTCCTCTGGAAGACCTGGTGCTGTAGACTAAAATGCACCATTGATCCAAGCCCTTTGCCATCCCCAGCTCATGGGTTACATCATGTGTGGTGGGTTCTATATAATGTTCTTCTCTGGGTCTTCATCACAGACCCAGCACTCAGGGCTGAAGGATGTGAGGATGGAGATGCCCTGTTCAGCTTCCAGTTTAGGTAGATGCATCCATGCCCTCATCCTCTGAGACCTGGATTGTCATCTTTGGGAGCCACCTGACTCCTGACCTCTCCATCTCATCTCAGCTCAGTCCTATGAGGGAAAAGGTACATGATGCTCTCATGTAAGACATCCTTGTGCTTCCTGTTTACTTAGGATAAATTAGTAAGTCTATTTTTTAGTCTTGCTTTTGGTGACAAGTCCCCTTATCCCAGAGCTTTGCATGTAAAAATAAATCCCTGCCCCTTTCTAAAACCTTGGCATAATCATAGGGAACATAGAATCAGACTGGTTTTGAATGGAAAGGACCTTAAAGCTCATCCAGGTCCAACCCCTGCCACGGGCAGGGACCCCTTCCACTGGAGCAGCTTGCTCCAAGCCCCTGCGTCCAACCTCAATCTCCCCTCTGGCAGGTTCAAGCCATTCCCCTTGTCCTGTCCCTACATCCCTTGTCCAAAGCCCCTCTCTAGGTTTCCTGGAGCCCCTTTAGGCACTGGAGATGCTCTAAGGTCTCTTTGGAGCCTCAAATCCCCTTAAAGCTGAAATGGGATCTGATGTCCTCATGTAGGTAGAGACACTGTGCCTGATCATCACTAGCACAGAGCATGGGGAATCAGTGCAACAGAGCAACAGGTCCAACCCACAATGCCCCTTCCCAGTCAGAACAAATCACTGCTCATGCCTGGTGCCACTCCTTTCAAACACCGCAGACACCATCGTTATAACCCTTGAGGAAAACAGCCCAGAGCATGAAACCCAGCTCCAGGGTCCACATGAGACATGAACTCTGCTTGAGGAGCAATGCAGAGGTTGCAGTTTTACTGCACATGGGAGCTGGGTCACCAGGTCTGCTGCAGAAGTGGCTAATACTCTATTCCCTCTTTATTGTACCATGCAGAGCTCAAAGAGCGCTCTGCAGAATGAAGCACTTATCACCCGAGTGAGGCTTTATCTTGCAATGATAGAATTATCCATCTCTGTTCATCACCAACTCAACTTCTGCCTTATTTCAGGGCAGAATTTGCACACAGAGACCTTCCCTCAATATTCAGCCTATTTTGCTTTCTATGCTTATAGAATACTACAAGGATGCTGGAGAGGGACTGCAGTAATAGGACAAGGGGTGATGGGTTCACACTGAAACAGGGGAAGTTAGATTGGATATAAGGAGGAAATTCTTTCCTGTGAGGGTGCTGAGGCACTGGAATGGGTTGCCCAGGGAGGTTGTGAATGCTCCATCCCTGGCAGTGTTCAAGGCCAGGTTGGACGAAGCCTTGGGTGCCATGGTTTAGTGTGAGGTGTCCCTGCCCATGGCAGGAGTTGGAGCTGAATGATCTTAAGGTCCCTTTCAACCCAAGCCATTCCATGATTCTACGTTCCCCATGATCGTTGCTTTCTTCCCTTTGAGTGTAACCCCAAGAGGCAAATGAGGAATAAGGAGGGTTTCTTGCCTGTTCCTGCCTGGCTGGGGACCATTCAGAGCTGCCTGGATGGGAGCCACATTCCCTCAGCATCTGCTCTCCTGCACATCACCCATCATCTGGGGGGCTGGCTGCCAGGCAAGCACTTTAAGGGATATCTTGAGCAAGGCATTAGGCTCCTGGCCAGGGAACCTCAGCACATCAGGACATCTCCCCCCTGGGGGCAAAGCCCAGCCTGTGTGCCCACAAAGGGCTGTTGGAATGACACTGGAAGGGATGGCAGCCTGTGTCAGGATGGGGATGGGGAAGTCTGTAAGTCATGCATTAGAAGCCCATCCTTGAAGCCCATCAGCTGCCAGGGCTCTGCAGAGCCAGACAAATGCTCCAGCTTAGCATCATGGAATACTTTGGGTTGGAAGGGGGTTTAAATGACATTCAGTTCCAAACCCAGTTTGGTCATGGGAGCAAGTTCTTTGGTAAGGATGGGAATATCAGGCACACAAATGGCAATGAGATGTGGTTATGATGAGGCTCTGCCTCGCTGCCTTTGCACTATTCTTCAGGGGAAAGGAGGGAGAATAACCTTTAGAATTCAGCCATAGCATCAGTATAATGTCTACCTTCCACTTTTCTGCCCCCATAATCATGGAATAGGTTGGGTTGGAACTGACCTTAAGATCATCCAGTTCCAAGCCCCTGCCATGGGGAGTGTTCAAGGCCAGGTTGGACACAGGGGCTTGGAGCAAGCTGCTCCAGTGGAAGGGGTCCCTGCCTGTAGTGGGGGCTTGGGACTGGATGAGCTTGATCCCTTCCAACCCAAACTAGTCTGGGATTCTGTGACTCTATGCCACGAGCTCCAAGTGAGCCACAGGCTACAAAGCATGTGGAGGACTTCCCTGGCCAAATCCAGCCAGGATTCATGTCCCATCCAAGTGCTGCTGGGCCCAGCATTGCTGCTAACCCAGCAGCCCAAAACAGGGAAAACAGCAGCCTATGGAGAGAGTTTTTTTGGCATCACAGCAGCCCCAGAGTGAGTCAGGTCCTTATTGCACTTGTCAGAAGGGTTTCCAAGATGCACATTGCTGAGGTCCCCAGCGCCAGCCCTGGCAGTGACAGCGTGCACTGAGGCTGTCCCAGGCTATGGACTACACTCAGCCTTCAAGGAGCTTGGTTCCCGCTGGCACCATGTGCCCTTTGAGCCAACCCTGCTGAGGGACAGGGTCCAAAGGCAGGGTGCTGTGCACTGGAGCTGCAGAGGCGACATGAGCAGGTCTCCTGTCTCTGCGCTGGGTTTGTCTGCAGGGGTTCAGCCGCACACTGATGCTTCTGCATGGCGCGTCTGGATTGGATGCTCTTGCCCAAGTCCATGGAGACTGGGAGTGAGAGGCAATGGGAAGCTATGTAGGAGGTTTGGGCATCACCTGCTCATTTTGGTGCCTTGTAGGGCCATAGAATCACCAAATCCCAGCCTGGTTTGGGTTGGAAGGGAGCTTAAAGTCCCCCAGCTCCAACCCCTGCCACGGGCAGGGACCCCTTCCACTGGAGCAGCTTGCTCCAAGCCCCTGTGTCCAACCTGGCCTTGAGCACTGCCAGGGATGGGGCAGCCACAGCTTCTCTGGGCACCCTGTGCCAGCGCCTCAGCACCCTCACAGGGAAGAGCTTCTGCCTAAGAGCTCAGCTCAGTCTCCCCTCAGGCAGGTTCAAGCCATTCCCCTTGGCCTGGCCCTACAGGCCCTTGTCCCAAGCCCCTCTCCAGGTTTCTTGTGGGTCCCTTTAGACACTGGAATCCTTTAGGTGTTAGAAGCCTGGCTCCACGGCATTAGGAGGGGGCACTTGTCAGTACTAGGATCCTGCAGCAGGAAGGCAATGTGGTCCCCACTCCATGCCCTGCATCCCATCCTTTCACTGTGCACTCTCCTCCAATCAGCTGCCGGCATCTGAAGCGAGCATCTCCTTTTGTCTCCGTGCCCTTTACTAGGAGCATCCTCCAGGAAACCAGCTGCAGGGACAATGCCTCTTGCCTGTTGTGAGCTGCTGCTCCCTGCTAGCACCGGGGTCAAGCTGCTCCAGTCATCCAGCACCCTGTGGGTAATGAATGAGCCCCTTACTCTGCTCTTGGCTTCTCAGGGGCTGCATTAGCACAACCATAGCAACAGCAGCTTGCAAGCAGTGCTGCTGGATCCCCAGCCAAAGGGCTGTGCAAAGCTCTGCCTTCGCTCTAATGTGTGCTTTCACGAGCCCTGTTCTAGCAGCAGATGCCACAGGCCTGTATAAAGGAGAAGCCAGAGGCCAAATCCTGACCATGGAAGGTCTGATTTCTGTGCCTGAGGGTTATAACATGGGGTTTGATGGCTCATGGGATGACATTAAGGGTATCCCATAGGATCGAGTTTCTACTGTTGCTAAACTGGAAGCTTTTGGATGAAAAGCTCCAAGCTTAAAGCAACTTAATGAAATGGATCAAACCAGCTGGAATTGCCTGGTAGGGTTTGGTTATCACATCTCTAATGCCTTTCTTATGGCATTTCTTAACCGCTTTGGCTTCCATACCACAAAACCCACCCAAAATCAAAGTAAAACTGTTCCAGAGATGATGGCAGTAATGTCTGGAAGTGCAGCTATGGAGGTCCTATGGGTTTGGGTCACTTCCTCATTCAGAGCAGGCTGCATTTCCCTGCAGGAGGCAGAGCCTGTGTTTCGAGCATCTCCGTGTTGTTACCTTTTCATTCCTCCCTCCTGATCATTTCCTGCATTTCCGCTGGCTCAGAAGTGATTTCTATCACTGAAAACTCAAGTGACAGCTTGTTGGCAACAGCAAGGAGGGAAAAACCTGAAGGACAAGTTGTTTTGCTGGAAAACACTGTAAAAGCTCTGTAAGGCCCAGCTGCATCTGAGATGGGAGCAGGGATGTTTTGCTGCATCCCTTGTTAACACTGCGGCTGCATCTCTGCTGCATCTCTACTGCATCCCATCTCATCCAGGCACCATGGAAGGAGATCCGGGTGCAGGGGCAGAGGGAGCTCCAGAGCACCCCACAATGTCCCAGTATGGAGGTTTGGATCCAAGGCTGCATGGCTTTGGTGTGATGTCACCTGCACTGTTAACAACACCCATGTCTTCTACTGCAAGGTGTTCCCCGGTGGGTTGAGTACATCTGGGATCAGTTCTGCACTGGAAGAGCCCCAGGGTCTATTAATGGCACTCTGCCATGCCATAACTCCTTTGGGGCAGCTCAGCTTCAACACTGGGGTTTCCTCATCCATCCCAGGTACCAGCAATGGTCCCTGCCCTCTGCCATTGCCCAAAGTGTGCCAACATAGAATCACATATAGTTTGGAAAAGCATTACTTAGCATGGGCTAAACCTATGCCATGAAGCATTCAAACACCTATGGCATCAGGACCAGTATGGCCCAGTGCTCCTGACCATCAGACACTGGTGCAGAGCTGACCATTCAGCTGCACGTCGGTAGCAGACTTTGGATGGAGCCATCTAAGAACCTTATCGAGGCTCTGAAGCAGAGCCTATGCCTCTTTGCAGGTATTGCTTTGCACCTATACATAGACAAAGATCTGCTGCCTCTAAGTATTGGGGTATTCAAGACCTCTCCTGCCACAGCAAAGCAAAAGCTTCACACAGATCCCATCTGAGATTAAGGATTTACATGACAATGGGAAACTCTGGGATGTCACCTTCCAGCTGGGCTCCTGATGGGCTGTAAATGGCCTCAGACTGCACTCTGATAGCTCACCTCTGGGTCTCCCATCTCCTTATTTCCCAGTGCATCCTATCCAAAACTGCCTGTTTCTCCTTTCCATCATCACCTGATGCCTTCCACACAGCAGTTTGACTGGGTCCCAGTTTGCTAGTGTGTCTCTTGGGTTTCCGTGGAAGAATCTCCTTTTGGGATGAGCAGGGACAAGTGCATAAAGCAAAGTGTCTGTTCCCAGGGTTGCAAAGCAGAGTCCTCCATGCTCCTCCCATTGTCCCACCCTCAAGCATGGGAATGCCATTCCTGAGGACAGACCCTGAGCAGGGCAGCACTTTAGATCAGGAAAACTGAACTTACAGAGCAGGAGAAGCTGGAAGTACATGGGTTTAGGAGCTGTGTGAGGCATGTAGGTGCTCCCATGCGCTTCCCTAGTGCCACCGTGCTCAGAAACAACAAAGCAACCCAGAAAAGGGGGCAAAAGTTAATTAACTCAATGAGAACAAGCCTCCCATCCTCCTCTTCATACACCGAGATGTGCAAGTGCAATGGCGACTCCTAATCTCTTGTCCTAACATGGCCTGGGATTCACTGCAGAAGACGCCTTTAAGGCCACTTTCCTTCCATTCCAGACCTTTGTACCCATACGTACCTGGGGCCGGGGAGGGAAGGAGTTGGGGTAAAGCTATTGTGGCCCCTCAGAGGAGAAGGTTTCTCTTACCTAGAGCTAGGAAGCTGAAGACCCATTGGACCACGGATGCCGTCTGAAGCCTCCTGTGCAGTGGCACCGAGAGGGGAGCGAACTCAATCTTCATCTTGGGCTCTGCACCCACGTCTCAGGAGGAGAAGGGAGCTCCACAATTGGTGAATGCAAAGTGCAAAGTCAGTGTTTACCCAGCCTTACAGGAGAGGGGATTGGGCAATGTACAGTGCTGGTGGTGGTGGTTGCACGCAGCCACCCTCCCACATAGGGAGGAGAAGGAGGCTGCCGGGAGCTGTAACCCGCTTTGTGCCAATGTGACTCAGCATGGGGCTAGAGGGCGAGGAGATCCTGCTTTACCACTCACACTTGGGAAATAAACTCCTTTCTGGACCCAACTGTGTCTTCAGATGTCCACATTCTGCAACATTTGGATGTTCATGGAGAGGATGAAGCATTCGGAGCAAGGCCAGAGGAGGCCACGAGGATGCTCAGGGGCTGGAGCAGCTCCTGTATGGAGACAGGCTGAGAACATTGGGGCTGTTCAGCCTGGAGAAGAGAAGCTGCGTGGAGACCTCAGAGCAGCTTCCAGTGTCTGAAAGGGGCTGCAAGGATGCTGGGGAGGGACTCTTCATCAGGGACTGTAGTGATAGGACAAGGGGTGATGGGTTCAGACTGAAACAGGGGAAGGTCAGGTTGGAGATAAGGCATTTGACCTGGCTCGAAAGGAAGCTGTGGCTGCCCCATCCCTGGCAGTGCTCAAGGCCAGGTTGGACACAGGGGCTTGGAGCAAGCTGCTCCAGTGGAAGGGGTCCCTGCCCGTGGCAGGGGTTGGAGCTGGATGAGCTTTAAGCTCCCTTCCAACCCAAAGCAGTGTGGGATTCTATGATCTGTGTGTGTGAACCAGGCCTTATTTCCCCCATTCCCCTACAAACAACCCTGTGCACGGCAGGAAGGGACAAGCATGGGCAGTTCAAATGTATTTGCAGGTGATAGGAGGTGAACAGATTTCAATCTCAGCCAAGGAGGTGGGGAAACAACACAAAGGCGTTGCACTGAGGGCAGGGATACGTGAGCAACATCACGCCTCTGACAAGACATGGATGGATGGATGGATGGATGGATGGATGGATGGATGGATGGATAAATGGGTGGATGGATGGATGGATGGATGGATGGATGGATGGATGGATGGATGGATGGATAAATGGGTGGATGGATGGATGGATGGATGGATGGATGGATGGATGGATGGATGGATGAACGGGTGGATGGATGGATGGATGGATGGATGGATGGGGCAGACAAGTACCTATGCACAGTTTTATGTGGTGTATGAGGAAAGGAATGCTACCTCCAACCGCAATCTTAGCCTCAGCCAAGGCACATACAAAGAGCTGTGATTTACTGAATGGAAAAACTGTAATTCAGAAATTTTGGGGAAAAGAATCCTCATGGAACACAGAAACTGCTCAGGTAAACACAGAAACCATCTCGTGCGGGGCCTGGGAAAACCAAGGGTCTGGTGGTGACCAGGATACAGCATAAGGCTGCTAAGAGGCTGAACTGAACAATGAGCCAGCCCACTGCTAGAGCACTGCCACGCATACAAAGGCATCGGTGAGGAAATGAACATGAGCCAGCTTCAGTGTGCGCTCGCAGCCCAGAAAGCAACCGTATCCTGGGCTGCATCAAAAGGAGCGTGACCAGCAGGGCGAAGGAGGTGATCCTGCCCCTCTGCTCTGCTCTCGTGAGACCTCACTTGGAGCATTGTGTGCAGTTCTGGTGTGCTCAACATAAAAAGGGCATGGAACTGTTGGAAGAAGTTCAGAGGAGACTACAAGGATGAGCAGGGGCTGGAGCATCTCCTGTATGGAGATAGGCTGAGAAAGTTGGGGCTGTTGAGCCTGGAGAAGAGAAGGTACTTGGAGACCTCATAGCAGCTTCCAGTGTCTGAAGGGGGGCTATGGGGATGCTGGGGATGGACTCTTCATTAGGGACTGTAGTGATAGGACAAGGGGTGATGGGTTCAAACTGAAACAGGGGAAGTTTAGATTGGATCTAAGGCAGAAGCTCTTTACTGTGAGGGTGCTGAGGCACTGGAATGGGTTGCCCAGGGAAGCTGTGAATGTTCCATCCCTGGCAGTGTTCAAGGCTAGGTTGGACAGAGCATTGGGTGCCATGGTTTAGTGTGAGGTGTCCCTGCCCATGGCAGGGGGTTGGAACTGGATGATCTTAAGGTCCTTTCCAACCCAAACCATTCTATGATTCCATGATTCTGTCATTCACTGGGCCAAGGTGTATTTCAGATCCCCAAACCTCTCCACCACCAGGAATTACAGAACAAAATGGAACACAGCCCTTGGCAAAAGCCAAGCAGAGATGTTAGGTGGAAAATAACCCCTTGTTTTTGTCAGAATATGAGGAATTTACATCTGCTAAACTTCATTGCTGGAGTCACTGCAAACAGCAGGGCTCCAGTGTAGCCCCAAAGGCTCTCTTCCTAAAGACACCAATTGCTTTAACTGATCTGAAACTGGCTTAGGTTTTGCATGAATCTTTCCCCATCCTTTGTTTTCTCTTGCAAACATCAGGACCCCTCTGCTCTTAAAGCAAGGAGGCTTTTAAGTCTTTCAGCTCTTTTGCTTGGAGATGAGACGTTTCCTATGAGGAACCACCAGCAATGCTGGGGGCAGATCTGCAGGTCCAGAGCTCCTCATCTTCCTGAGCTGTGCAACCCCCAATACAGTCATAAGATCACAGAATGGTTTGGCTTGGAAAGGACCTTAAGATCATCCAGTTCCAACCCTCTGCCATGGGCAGGGACACCTCACACTAAACCGTGCCAAGGGGGTTCATGGTGTGTCCAAGGAGGGGAAAACCCTTGCAGGGACACCCCTGGTCCAGAGGTGATGCTTCAAGGTGTTTTCCATCCTGAAGTCCTGGTTGGTACCAGGCCTTGCCAGGGACCTCTTCTGGTTTATTCTAGTGCAAGTGGTCATACCTGAGCCCTGGGAGCTCTGGCCCAGTTTAGCACCTCAGACTACAGCCAAGGCACTGAGCTCTCTGCAGGAACCCATCCCTGGAGGCCTCACCTTGCTCTTTGCCACTCACATTGTCCTGCTCTGCTCCTTTCCCCTTGCTTTCTCCCCCTGTCACTGTCCAAACTGTGGCAGGGGAACTGCAGATGTGGGTGATTGTCACAATGGTGCCATCAGCTCTAGCACTGCTTTACAGGTAGGTCCTGTCCTCACATCATCAACCCCATCCCTACCAACGGGTGTTGCTACTGTTGGAACACCCTTCACAACTCATAGGATCATCTTAGAGGGCTGGAAGGCAATAGAACCAAACCTCAAAACCAACCTTATGGAATAGACTAGTATAAACCTATCAGGTCAAAATAGGAAGGAGTTTAGCTCTACAGTGATTTCATATGGGTCTGGGCTGGAAATGGAGAGGGAACCACACTTCAGAGTGTCCCATACCATGTGATGGTATAACCTTTTATCACATCTGCCCTTATAATACCCCAATCCCCATCTTCCGTGCTCTGGGGGAAGTGATTATATGGGATGAGAAGGGTTTTTACTGGGAAATGAGAAGATAAGGATTTATTCCCAGGCCTTCTGTGTAATTTTCAGCAAGTTCCTGTCTGCACACGGGTGATGATTTGCAGTTTAAAACCAATGATAACAGTGGAGAAAACCTCACTTAGATGAACCTCTCCATGGCAGGACCTACCCACCAAAAGGGCCATCCAACTTCTCCTATAGCCACGTGTTTCTCTGGTCACTTACATCCTCCTTCTCTTGTTCTCTTTGCTGACTTGGGTTTCAGTTGCGGATAGGGTGAGGGTGGATGGTCCCCATGGCAGCATCAGAGATAGATCATAGAATCATGGAATCCCAAATTGGAGAGGACCTCAAGGATCACCTGCTCCAGCCTTTCTAGGTAAAGCATGACCTAGACTATATGGCCCAGCACCCTGTGCATCCCAGTCCTAACAGTGTTCAGTAGAGCATCGCTGACCTGTGACTGCAGGGATGGAAGGGACCCCTGGGACCAGCCATGATCACTAGTAATCCCTACAATCCCATGTTAGCCCATGTTTAATTTACCCCCATTGCTTAATTCTCACCTCTACGGGTTTTAAACCTCATTATCTGTAATTTTCTCACCATTTCCCCTTGTTTCCTAACATCCACTCACATACACGTGGCCCCTGATGTAGCTCTCACTCCATCCTCCTTGGCTTTTCCCTTTGCAGTTATTTATAGTCATTTATCCAATTTCTTTTGCTTGCATTTAGCCTGGAACATTAAGTTCCTTTAATCCCTCAATAGGTCGTTCTCTGTAATCCCTTTATCACTGACCTTTGGACCAATGGATCAATGTCCATCTCTGAGTACAAGGAGGAACCCATAAAGCCCTGAGTCACCCAGCTCTTGGCTTCCACAAGTCACTGAGCTTTGCAGTGCAGCACAGTGGGATGTGCCCATGAGACTTCATGAGTGGAGCAGGATGCACATGGAGACCTGGCCATGCTCCAGGATAGGGGCTAAGGAAGGCTAACACTGAGGACATGAAGGGACACATGTAAGGGGCAATGCAATGGCATGTACAGGAAGCCAGGACAAGGCATAGGTATCCTGCTTTCCCTGCCAGAGGAAGCTGGTCGTGGCTCCTTGATGAAGTCCCACCATGTGTAGACCCTATGGGACTTGATGCTCCATCAGAAGAGATAGAAGGGCTCTCAAAATCACTGCTCCTCTCTTCAAATCATAGACAATCCACTTTTTTCCCCCTAAAGCCTTTCAGTCGCTCATGGTATCATAGAATCATAGAATCCCAGACTGGCTTGGGTTGGAAGGGACCCTAAAGCTCATCCAGTTCCAACCCCTGCCATGAGTAGCTCATCAAATCCACCCCTTTCCCATCAGTGCCAAGGCCACCACAGGGACAGTGCCTGCAGCCCTGCCCTGGGCAGCCTGTTCCAATGCCTGAGCACCCTCTGGGGCAGGAATTGGTCCTCAGCTCCATCTAAACCTGCCCTGGTGCAGCTTGAGGCCGGTTCCTCTTGTCCCATCCCTTGTTCCTTGGGAGCAGAGCCCAGCCCCTCCTGGCTCCATCCTCCTCTCAGGCACTTGGAGGCAGCC